CGCCTCAGAGCAATGGCAGCCAAGAATCCAGGCTGCACGAAGAAGATCCTGATAGAGGGACCGTACGGCGGCGTCAGCGAGCCTCACATGGCTCAATTCGATACGATCCTGGTGATAGCCGGTGGCTCGGGAGGCGGGTTCTCATTAGCCATGGTAGACGAAGCGCTTCGGCTGACGGGGATGAATGCACCGGCAAGCGAGAAACGAGCAACCTCCAGAAGGAACCTCCAAGTCATCTTCTCGACGCGCGATCACGCCATGGCCGATTGGTACATCGAGGAAATCGAATCACGGTTGTCGGAATCGACCACGTTATCCGCCGGCTCGGACAACGGATTCGAGACTTCAGTGTCTGTGCACGTCACTGACCAGCGGGGATCGGGTATTTCATCGGCTTCAGAGTCTGACGATTTCAAGGGCACAGCTGGCAAGGTACCACCGGCTGAGATTACTACCACGGGGAGTTTCAGTTTGAATGTTCACCGCAATGCTCGACCTGATCTTCCTGCTCTGGTTGCACGTACAGTTTCCATGGCACATGCTCAAGGGACGCATCTTCGGAAAAAGCAGCGGGTTGGGGTTCTGGTTTGTGGACCTGCTTCTATGCTGCATGATACTCGGAATGCGGCAGCTTTGGCGCAGGCCAGGGTGTTGGGGGGTGAGGTTGAGGAGCTGTATTTGCATTCCGAGCCTTTTGTGTAAGTCTTTGTTTGATTTCCTTGCTATATTATGGCGATTGGCTAACTGGGTTTTACAGGTGGTGAGTGCTTTTTGATATGGAGTACCATCTGCTGGATTGATCTTACTCTCTTTCTCTTCTCTTCTACCAAAGTACCTATTTATTGTTCCCGAATACATATGCTTCAATCTAAGACTTATTATTTACGACAACTAAAAAGCAATCGCATATTACTTCATGAAAAAGAGCACTATCCAAAGAAAATCCAAGTTATTAACGGCCAAGACCCTCTAAACCAGTCTAAAGCCCAAGTCTGTACTAAATCACAGGTGAATACACAGCAATCTAAGTATGAATAAATAGTACAGAAGAAACACCCGAAACAGTCACCGGCCAAATATGAAACAAAGTCTGGGGATATGAAACACCGAGGCCAAAGCCTGAAAAAATAAAGAATAGAAGAAAAACGCCGAGCATTAATCCCATAAGGCTGAGTGGAGAGATGAGAAAGAAACGTGAGATCAAAGATCAACCACGAAATGCAAAATCTAAACATTAAATGAGAACAAAATGAAGAGATCATCAGGTCATTAGCCCACCGAAACCTTACCTTTCACACTTCACACCATACTCTTCCTTCATTTGATATTAAATCAAATCCGAATCACTCTCCCCTCTCGACTCTCTTCATCAAGGAATCCCTCATCCGCACATTGACCACACCACCAACACCGTATGCAGGAACAATCTTCCCCATGCGTGCAAAGCAACTAGGTACATAATCGCGACGAATCCGCGCCGCACGTTCCGTCCAATGCAGACCACCGGCTGGCTGTCGGTTATACAGATCTAAGCCGAGAAGGTGCATGGGCGTACTAGCGAACTGCATAGCAGCGGGACAGGCGAATTGCGCGATGCTAGATTTCATGGCTGGGCTTGAAGCGAGGAAGTCTGGGACTGAGGGCGCGATGAGGGCGGGGATATTGAAAGAAGCCCAGATTGTGATGCTGTCGCGGAGACAGAAGAGGGCGTAAGAGACTTTTGGTATTTGGAGGGTTGGTACTGTGGGTGTGGAGGGAGGGAGTGGTGCGCGGAGACTGGAACTATACTTCCGAGCAACTGGGTTTTTGTTTATGGGGCTGTTTCTAGCGGGCGATTCGGAGGGAGGAGAGGCGCCGAACATTTTGGCGAAGCGCGCATCTTTGTAGACACAGATCGTCATGTTGACTATTGTTGTTGCAAAGAATTTGGGGAGGCCTGTGTCGATGACGTTGTAGGGCTGGTTGTGTGTTGTTGATTTGAGGGTGTCGATTGCATTTGCTGTGAGGTAGGTCGAGGTGTATAGGGTGTAGATGAGGATGAATGGAGTGCTGAAGAAGAAGCCGCTGGGTCGAGCGACCATCGATCGGAGGCAGGTTTTTATTGTTTGGCCGATTGGGAAGCCCTTTGAGGCTTTTTCCATGATAGCACTAGAAGGATTAGCCTTGTATTCGATAACAGCACCTAAGAGCTGTAATAGCCACTTACCGATCAATGATGGTGATCAATGGGCAGGTCAACGCGCCGGCTGTTGCGGCGCTAGCGACATCGACACCGAGTCGTTTGCCTAGATCTTTGGTATTCCATGTGGAGTGTTTGCTGGGGGTCTGCCCTTGACGTTCCTGGCCCTGTTCCTGCTTTACCGTCGCCATTGTAAATATTGTATCTTGCGCAACAGCATCCCGATTCATGCTCATATTGTATGGACGAGAGAGAGGCTATGCATTGAGTAAAACGTCACACAAGATAAGGTCAAATGAAACAAAATGAATTACAAATGCAAGATCTGAGAGAGTATTATATTCATCGTTGATCTCCCCAGCTTCGGACGAGAATGACCCGGGCGCGACCCGGCGCCGGCTCTCCGATGCCGGCCCGATAAGCTTATCGGCTGAACGCTGTCCCAAGGTTTCTATTGTTTTGGTCTACATGGTCGAGATAGGACATTATGATATACAACCACAATGGAGTATAGTTTTGCTTCATTATACTCTTATTCTTATTTTGAAATCCCCTAACGCCAAATACCAATATCTTAACTACATATCTAACGAGCTTCAATACCATCCATAGTGACATTGACCGCACCAGCTTGTACCAACTGCAAAAAAAGAAAGAAATTAGCAAAAATCCAAATCATGCAAGGGACACCCATGATACATACCGCTCGTTGCAAGTCGTCAATCAAGTCATCGACATCCTCAATACCAATGCACAACCGGATCAAGTCTTCAGGGAAGGCGCGTTCCGCCCGCGTCTTCGCGTCAATGCTAGCATGACTCATACGGCACGGCATACTGATCAGACTGTTGACACAACCAAAGCTGACACTGATAGCAAAAATCTTGGCACTCTCCACAATGCGCTCGCTAATGGCCGTGTCACCGGTCTCGAACGAGAGCACAGCACCGGCGCCCCGCGCCATGGAATTGTGGAGTTCGTATTGTGGGTGAGATCGCAAACCTGGGTATCGCACCTTGAAACCATGCGACTCAAGGAACTCGGCAATGCGCTGGGCATTGCTCTGCTGCTGGTCCATGCGGACCTTTAACGTCTTCACGCCGCGCAGTAGAAGCCAAGAGTCAAACGGCGACAGGCCGCATCCTGATGCGTTGATCGGGAAGTATAGGCGTTCCCCGAGCTGCAGGTCGTTTACGGCAATGACACCGGCCATCAGATCGTGGTGACCGGAGAGGTATTTGGTGCCACTCTCGTAAACGACATCGGCGCCGAAGTCTAGTGGGTTTAGGAGAAGGGGAGACATCATGGTGTTGTCCACAGAGACAATGCATGCGGGGTTGGCTTCGTGGGCGGCGGTGGCAATTTTTCCAATATCGACGATCTTGATCAGGGGGTTTGTGGGGGTCTCGAGCAGCACCATGGTTGTCTTTGAGCTCAGTACTTCCTGGACCTTCTCGGGATCTGTGGTGTCGACGTGGTGCACGATGATTCCGCCGTTGGTCGAGAGGTACTTAAGCAGACGGTTGGTGCCACCGTAGAGGTCGTCACCAGTGACCACCTCGTCACCAGGGCGGAGAAGTCTTGTAATCACATCCAAGGCTGCCATGCCGGAGGACACCACCAGGGCGCGCTGTGCCGACATGATCTTGGCCAAGTGACGCTCAAGATGTGTGCGAGTGGGGTTCCCGGACCGTGTATAGTCATACTCTCCACCGCCGGCGTTGGAGGTTTGTTTGAAAGTAGCACTCTATGTAATTTCAATATGATTAGTATTCATGTCCAAATCAAAGCAACATTGTGTCGCCAGGGGTGAATCTGTACCTGATAGATAGGAACGCTGCTGGCATTGTATTGGTCACTACCCTCGGTGAAAACCAGCTCGGTGGCAATATTGTACCGGCGACCGGTATGAGGGCTGGACGGGGCAGGGGAAGGTGGAAGGTCATTCCCTGACAGGTCAACCTGAGGGAAACCCTTCTTCACACCGCTAGATGACCCTGAAGCAGCATTGGGAATTCCGGATCCTGAGGCCGACATCGCTGTAGCGGGGCAGAAGGAGGGACAGTATGTATGTGCGTGTAGAGAATAATTGAGGATAATTGAAAGCAAACAATTCAATAGATGCGAATATGTTAGAAGTAAAAAGGAGAATAGAAATAAAAATTGGAAAAAGAAAAAGAAACCCCCCAAGCAGTTCACAATCCCCCGGACAAGCTGACTCGTCCCGAGTCGGCGCTGATTCGTTGAGCCACGGCCATTGCGATCTCGTCATCCGCTAGTCCCAATTAGGCATGCAGGTATGTGGAGTTTTTATGAGTCAACATCTACGTTGATTAAGGGATTAAGGGAGTAAGGGAGTAAGGTGTTTCTATATTAATAATGTTAAGATGATATTAAGATTCAACATTTATAGGAGATCGGTATATTTACAACATAAAAGAGGGAAGGCTTAATCGTTATGAATATGGAAACTATAGACATTTGATATCAATGCTAGTATAGCTTGTCTAGCCATTTCAAGAGTTGCGTATTTGTTAAAACAATTTTTGGTGTTGTGTATATCCCTAGCAAAGTAATATATCAATTGAAAGTCAATTAGAAACCATCTACTGCTCTTTCACAATATAGTTATACTAGGACTATGGAGAAAGACTTATCGTTAGTCATCAGACTCGGTCGACAGCACTGCCAACATTTTTACTTCCCTCTGTAATTGCAAATACCCCCTTCAGAGTCTGGAATCTTAAAGAAAAAAGAAACATACATACATACATACATACATAAGATTCTTAAACACCTTACCCAGAGAGGAGCAACAAAAATGACATCGGAATCGGAAGCAGCATTCGCATATCACGAACCATCAACGGAAATAGTCCTCAACTACACCGGATTTCTTTTATCTCTAAACATAGTCAATACATTCCTGGACAAGCTCCTCTACTGTGGATTAATTGGCCAACTCTTCATCGGTGTCCTGTGGGGTACGCCCGGGGCACAATGGTTCGATCAAGAGATAGAAAGAGTGATCCAGCAGATTGGGTATCTAGGCCTGATACTCTTGATTTATGAAGGTAAGTGTGTGAAATTTCTTCTCTACTTGCTGGATATAAGTTCTTACAATAAACAGGTGGTCTGTCAACCTCAATCAAGTCCTTGAAGGCAAACATCCTTCTATCGACAGCCGTTGCCATCACTGGAATCTGTGTCCCAATGGGCTTGTCATTCATTCTCAAGGAACTTGTGTCAGCAACATTTCTTCAGTCCTTCGCTGCCGGTGCAGCGTTGAGCGCAACTAGTCTCGGCACTACCTTTACCATCCTCTCAACCACGCAGCTAACAACTACAAGGCTCGGCACAGTCACCACTAGTGCTGCAATGCTAGATGATGTCGTTGGACTGGTCATGGTCCAAATTATCTCAAATCTAGGCGGAAGTGCCGCCTCATTCAGTACCGTGACTGTCATTCGACCTGTTTTTGTTTCTATCGGGTTCGCTGTTGGTCTTCTATTGCTGTGTGCATTCTGTTTACAGCCCGGATTAAAAAAATCGCTTGCTTGCAAAGCCAAGTTTCCAGCTTTTATAGGAACCGCACAATTTGCTTTTATTGCGCAGACGTGTGTGTTAGTTGGAATCGTGGCTGGTGCAACGTATGCTGGAACTTCGAGTCTCTTTGCTGCCTACCTTGCTGGAGTAATTGTCTCTTGGTTTGATGGGCTGGTAGTTGAAGCGAAAGCACCAATTCCTGCCTTTCATGCTGATGCATCTCATGTGCAAACTTCCAACCACCAAGGAAGCACACAGAATAGCAAGAACCGGCGTACTGAAGAGACACCCTCTTCGCCTACGCAACATCCCCGAGAGGCAGAAATAACCGATAACGATACACCTACAGGTGAACTGATCTACAGCAAATATTATAAAGAGCCGGTCAACCGAATCCTTCTCCCTCTTTTCTTCGTAAGTCCTTTCATTTGATTTAAGAAGGACGTACTAACATCAGTAGGCATCGATTGGATTCGCAATTCCCATAACCAAGATGTTCTCAGGTCAGGTTGTATGGCGTGGGATTATCTACGCCATGCTGATGGCAATTGGAAAAATGATCACAGGCCTATGGCTCGTTCGATTCTCTCCCCGCCCTGTGTCCGGTCTAATCTCTATCGTCAAGAAACCATTTATACATGCCAGCTCGTACTGTGCGAGTCCTCGGAGCATCAGCAGAAAGTTGAATCAAAACAAGAAAGCCAAACAATGGCCAGGCACTCAAGATGGCATTGCAAATGTTTCAACTCCCGATAATGCCAAAAACGAGCCTCAATCAACGAACAGATCCCCTACATCCACTTCCCGCCCCGGTTCTCGCATCTCACTCCCCCCAAAACCAAAGTCCCTGTACCCGCCTTCTATCCTGGGGTTGGCAATGGTCGCCCGAGGCGAAGTGGGATACCTCATTGCTTCGATTGCCGAAAGCCAAGGAATATTCTCCCGTGAATATTCAGAAGGACCATCTGAGATATATCTAGTGGTCATCTGGGCAATCTCGCTCTGCACATTGATCGGTCCGATCTTGGTCGGGACTCTAGTTAGACGTGTAAAGAAGCTGCAACAGCTAAGGGGCGATATGGGGTCTGATCCTTTGGGAGTTTGGGGCATTTAATTATCTCGAATACAGTGAGCGATGACCATGCTGTATTGAAGCCCAAACAGGATTGATTCCATTGATACATATACAATAATTATTTTGGTAGTCATGGCATTTATGATCCTAATGTACACAAACACAGCCGCTTAGCCACCCATCTCCATGATCCGACCATTCTTGATATGAGTCATGGCGCTCCGGGAAATGGGATCCTTCTTGTCGAAAGCCGCCTTCCTGCATTCCGCAGGAGCCCAGGTCGTGATGTCCTTCGAATCACCGCCCATACGCCCATCGTTGTTTTTCTTCAGCTTTGCAAATGCCTTTTTCCAGCCCCAGGGATCATTGGAATTAGCCGTAGCCTCGGGAAGCTCAACTGCCTCACCAGACGACTGCTCGTAGTGCGGGTGGTTCAAACCATGAACTGTGACATCGTGCTTAGAGGCATAAGCTTTGAGATTCGCATCCTGGCCATCCCAGTCGATACCGTACCCTTTGACATCAACAATGAAGCGGATGAACAGACCGATAATGGCCCCGATGTTCTTAACTTCAGAGTCCGACTTGAAGAGATCGTTTCGCTCCAGAGTAGCAAGCATAGTAAGAAACATCGCGACGAAGGCGATAAACGTCGCATTCACGGTCTCCGTCTTCACAGCTATATCCCACTCGTTAGCATTCTGTCAACACTCAATATTCTGCTGGGAGCCAGTGAGAAAAACCCAGCCATCGACATGATAGCATCCATTTGGAAATACAGCCCCGTCGCTTCACAGATGGCCCACTGCATCTTCCAGTCACCAGCAGCCTCATCAAAATCCATGAGCAGGTTCTCCACCAGCTCCATAACGGCATATCCAAAGAAGTCATTGTAGACATGCATCTCAAAGTTATCCGGGTCGCGTACGGTAGTACCATGCTTCAGCGCGATCCACTTGGCCACGCCGGCGTTCGTGAAGATCCATTTCTCTCGTGGATGCTCAGAAGCAGGCTTGAGGGTAGTGGCATCGTCCGCCTCCTGGTATCGAATCAGCCATCGCCGGCACTAGAGAATGATCCTTTCTCTCAATAGCAAGTCACTAACCGCATCATCTTTCTTCTTCTGCTCTATAGACTCCTCATCCTCAGACTCATCCTCTTTTTGTTCCGTATTCCAAGGCGCGCATCCCAGACAAATATAAGTAAAAGCCTTGACTGGGTCGCGGGTTCGCAATCTGAACTCCGAGTCTGCGTTGCGGGATACAGAGACAGGGGCCCATCGCTTATTTAGTGCACGCTCAGTTTCCATGTCTACTTCAGGGTTGGTTGCTGGGCCTTTTGGACTTCTTTGCGCCACTAGCGGCGGAGTCGGTTGGTTTTCTCTAGGGAGACATAATGGAAGATTATGAAACTGAGTAAACGGAATAGAAGAAAAGGGGACCAATTGGTTTTAAATTGAAATAAGTTGAGTTGACTCTTTTGGATAGATACGGGTGACGCGTCAAGTCGCGTTGCCCGTCCAGCCCCAGGATCATTTCCAGTTGCATCTAGGCCGATCAGAAGCCGACTTATTTTACTCTACCAATATAACTATTGTGGGTAGAATGATACAAATCAATATATAAAGACAAGAAATTGAAATTCGTATACTCCATCCCAACTCCCTCTGCATGCCAGTCCATGACGTTTCCCAACATGACCCAAATCAGAGAACAGAAGACACAAGAAAATACCAAACACTACCAACCTCACCCAGACATTCATAAACCAGACCGTCCCTAAAGACAGAACGGACGAAAAAAACCTCACGACGCCGCAGCCGAACCCACCTCGCCCCGAAAGCACTCCGTTTTGCCACCAGAAAAAGAAAGGAAAGCTCCAAAAAATGACAGTATATACCAGCAGAGCAATTATATTAGAGTCTGCAAAGGAAACCACAAGCGTACATTATACTCCAGAGGCCCCCGAGTACACTCTCAACAGCTAAAGTGTACGTAACAACATAAATATGAAGCGCAACATATTCCAGATCGTGATTGTTCATGCCGCCAGATCGCCGAAACCGCCGTTGATGCCGAAGAATTGGAACCTGTTCAATGTTAGCAAGAGAATGTCCAAAAAAAAAAAAAAGAGGATACTAGAATCACAAGTTCTCGGGAGACATACCAGTCCTCGACATTCAGCGTCGTTGGCGCAGTCGGCCCGCTACGAGAACTACTACTCCAGGTATCATTGTCCTGGCTAGCAGCGTCCATCGCGGCTCCACTCATAGTGCCATCGAGACCATGCATGGGCGGCCAAGCTTGCTGATGCTGGCCTTCCATGCCGAACATCTGCTGCGGTGGGTTGGGGTGCATTCCCATCGCGCCTGGCAGTCCAGACATTATCGGCGGGCTACCATGTGAGATAGACATGCTACGGCCCGAGACGTGCTGCGGCTGGTTGTTCATCATGGGGCTGGGGCGCGTGGCCATGCCCGGGGGCATTTGTGATGGGATCTGGAGGGATGGGTCGACTGTAGCGGGCTGGGGTGGCGATGTCAGCTCCGGGAAGAAGGCGGTGCCGTCTGGGAAGAGTTGGTCGGGTTGAAAGTTCTCCCAGAGGGAGGGGGAGAGATTGGGCGATGTGCGGGTTACTAAGAAGAAGTCGGGGGGTGTGGCGGGTAGAGAGAATTGGCCGTTGAACGGGGTTGTAGGCCTGGTGTTGGCTCGGGAATTACCCGTGCCGGTGATTGGATCGTGAGGACCGCGGTGGGTGTTTGGTGATTGTTGGCCACCGAGAAGGGGTTGGTTCAGTTCCCGGGAGGGCGTGACAGCGGGTGTCTGGGGCCGGGAGCGCTCGTATGACACGGGAGGTGTGGGCCCGCCACCATTTGGCATGCCAATATCCATATCGTCGAATTTGCGTTTCGGCGGGTCATGCCTCTTGGAGGAAGATGATTCGCCGTGCCGCGTGCGCTGATGCCTCCGGCCTGCAGCTTTCTGCAGTCGTTCTTCCAACACCTTGTTTCCGAGAATAGACTCGAACAAGGTATTCACCATCTTCGCCACCAGCCAGACCTTTGATACATCCTTGAGGGCTAGCATGCAGACGTTGATTCTTTCCTGGCAAGTGGCCACGATCGAAGGAACTGAGGAGCGCATTTGGTAAACGTGCATAATCAAGGCTGAGAATAGACTGTACACAATAAAGGCAGGCGTATATCGGATCTCCCCATGCGCCTGTAGGTTCTCAACAATAGAGGTAATCATGCCTGCGGCTTGGAAGGCAATTGTTCGCGATGGATAAGCCATTTCTTCGACCCTGTAGTTATTGGGTGCGGATGAGGCAGGCGGCATATGGGCCCTATGAAGGAGACAGAGCGTAGTGTAGTAATTAGAGTGCAAGAGAGCCGCCCAGAAATGATGCCGAGAGCGTTGCCAGCATACTTCTTTAGGACAGTTCTGCAGCCAATCGGCCAGTGCCATATCCGAGTGGGTGAGATCCATTGCATTCATACGCCGTGACTTAGAAGCCACAGAATACTGCTGCGACAGAACCAAGCCCATGATCTCGCACAGCTTGACATACTGCAGGAAGAACTGGACATGAACAGGGTCTGCTGGGTATTCGGCAACCATGTCGAGCTCATCCTCGATGAAATCGTCCTCCGTCACCATCTCAACATCCGAGTCATCTGTATTAATTCCAATCGGTCGTCCCAGTGCGACGGCGACAGATCGATCCCGAGTGAACAGGGTCCACCAGATTCTCTTCCACAGTCTTTTGTCTGGTTTGTTAAGCTGGGACATTTCGACGCTGCGGTGCATTCCAGAGCCCTGAGCTACCACCATAGCGACCCGTGTCCAGTAGAAGACGTTCTTAGTGACATCTGTGACTAGTCAGAAAAGCCATTAAGATAGATTAGTATGGATTGCAAACTCACCTTCCGGTCCCTCCCAGTACCAACCCAAAAGCACTAATGCCTGTACGATAGTGACACGGTCATCCTCATAGTTAGCATCATACAGCGCCTTGGCACGCTTATAAAAGGTCATAGCCGCAGGGGTGGTCGAGCCATTCGCATCCATAAGCTGCTGGTTAGTGCAAACTCTCGATCCTGCCAGCAGAATCGCCTGCAGCAGTAGTAACGACGGTGGGTTCTTGGGGTCACGGTAGTGACGCATGAAGCGACTCTTATTGATAATCGGCACAACGGGGGCCACCCATTTGAAGTAGGCGTCGACCAACTCATCACACAGCGGTTTGGGCGGAAGTAGGAATGCGCCCCGCTGGTGCAGAATATCAATTTCCAAGTTATCCAAGTCCGTCAACCGGGCGCGGGATCCTCTGACATTCGGTGGAAGCGGGTAGTGCACGACATCTGCTGTTCCATGACGGTCTTGAACCAGAAGAGACAGATTCGACGATTCGCCCAAGTACGCCACCCGGCCAGCTTCTTTTATCGGAGCACGCGCAAACTTTGGCTTCATAAATTGGGCATAGGCGTTATTGGCCGAAGCTTGTTGGGCGGCTTCAGCCTCGGAAAGGGCAGTATTGGGCATGCCGTCGACGCCCATCAGGTTGTTCCGGTATCCAAAGGCATTGCTCTTTTCATCCGAGTCCGGACTTTTCTTCTTGTCCCTGGATACAGAGACAGAGCCAGATACTGAATTTGCTCGCTCCTCGGTGCTCGTGGGTCGGAAGTGAGAAGCTGCAGCGTCGACGACCGAGGCAGTTTGCGGTGGACTGTCATCATACTGAGTATCTTCCTTGCTCTTGTTCTGGTTGTTCTTTTTTCGTTTCGGAGACGGGATCTTGCACTCGATAGAGAAAGCGACACAATTGGTGCAGGGTACCCCGAGACTGGCTGCATCACATCGAACCTGGGGCGACGGGAACGGTTAGAGTGTGGATTCAAAAAAAAAAAAAAAAAAGGACAAGATCGAGGGCAAATTCACCTTGCGAGCATGACATGTCTAATTAAATCGAAAAGAGAAACATCAGCTACATTTTTCCAAATCCAAGAAGGGGAGAGAGAGAATCTATCGCGATAAGAAACCGAGCCGAGGTGCGTTGAGAACCTCGGCCCCAGAGTCGCGTCTCCCTAAAAACCCAGACGTACCTCGCACGCGCGTGATGCACGTTGTCTAGGATTAGATAAAACGAATTAGCAAGCCCACAAAAATGCTTAACTTGTAGAGTTTCCCTCCAGGTACCAGGGAAGTGAAGAGCCGAGAAAAAAAAAACCCTGTCCCTCATGCTTTGCGCCCGCACCCTCCCCCGCGACAATCCGTTTGTCAGACCAGAACACCGTGTCGCCAATATCCCCCCAAAAGAAAACCAAACAAGTACCAGAAAGAACTGGCTTACCTTCTGAAACTCAGTGGTTGGCCTTGTGGACCATTGCGCACCGTAATGCCCGAAGTCCCCGTCGAGCCCGCGTTGCTCGGAGCCGGGCTGGTGTGATTGTCCGATAGCTGGTCGGTATAGAATTCAGTGGTACTCATTGCCACACAGTCTCTCCATCCAGGAATGCAGACTTGATCAAGTCGGAGGAGAATTGGGGCGATGCGCTCGGAGGGGAAGGGGAAGCGATACGATATAAAGTGTGTCAGGCGGGAGTATACGGGGTACGGTGTATAAAGAGGATAAGAAGGATCTTGAACACGGCGAAAGACGCCACGCGATCAAGGAAAACAGAACAATCAAATAAGAAAAAATACCGGGGGAGGAGGGGGGGGGGAGGAAAGAGGGAATATCAAAAGTTGGGGTGAAGTTGTGGCAATATCAAGTTCCTGGTGGAGTTTCTATTTGGTCAGCATTTACCTACGTTACCTTAGGGTATATGTATAGTTTATTCGTATAATATTATAATATGTTATGATATATAATTATATCAGATATTCTCTATATCATTCCCTTCTATTCCCTGCTCTCTACGTCTGCAAAGTAAAAGAAAAAGAACGAAAAGGGGCAAAAAAGGTAAGCCTAAGAACCCAGTACCATATGGCGCAGGAGTTCACACCGAACCCTCATTGACTAAGCACTAACTCGGTGTTTGGAGTACGAAATAATAATAAAATAAAATAAAAAGCCACCAAATATGCACTGTTGGAACCTGTTGGAACGGGGGCCACAAAAAAACATGGAGAGATCGACGGATGGGGGTGGAAGACCGATGGAGGTAGCATTTGGTGGAATGCTTCTTTATGGGACGTAGGAACTACTATATATTCTACGTATCGGCAAGCCCGGGAGGAAGTACAATAATCTACAATAATCTGCAAAGTACAACGGAGTACATATGTGCAATATAACTCTTAAAGTGCCAATCCCTAATCCCCCATTGCCAATCCTTTGGGACCCCAGACGCTAAACCGGCCCACTGCGTGGAAATACCATTGCTTCAGCCTCGTTCGGGTTCGGGGG